CGCGGCAAGCCTCGCGCTCAAAGGGCCGCCGTGCAGATGGCTTGACGAACCCACTCGACTTGCTACACTGCCGTCTCTTAGCTATCCTGACAGCCCAGAAGATTGAAGTTCCTTCGCGGTCTAGAAAAGCTTCGGGGGGTCGTCATGCAGCAGTAGTTTGGTCATGGCTGACGACGACCATGCTGTTACATATACAGTGAGGGAAAAAGTATTTGATCCCCTGGTGATTTTGTACGTTTGCCCACTGACAAAGAAATGATCAGTCTATAATTTTAATTGTAGGTTTATTTGAAAAAAATAAAAAAAACGCATGTCAAAAATGTTATAAATTGATTTGCATTTTAATGAGGGAAATAAGTATTTGACCCCCTCTCAATTAGAAAAAATTCTGGCTCCCAGGTGTCTTTTATACATGGAACGAGCTGAGATTAGGAGCACACTCTTAAAGGGAGTGCTCCTAATCTCAGCTTGTTACCTGTGTAGAGGTGTTACGGGAGGGTGACACGCGGTTGTGGGGCGGTGGCCACAAACACGTCCGCTACGGCCACCACCCTGGGGGGCTGTGGGGGATGCTGTGATCCCTTCCAGCCCCGCCCCTCAGTGAGGGACAGTATAAAAGGTGGAACCCGGAGAGCTGAGGGGCAGTTCGACTCAAGCAAGATGAAGAGCCAGTGAAGAAAGAAGATCAACTAGCTAGACCCTGGAACTCCTTTGGCCCACTGTGCTTTTGAGGGCCAGGCAAAGCAAGCCAGGGTACGACACCAGAGCCGCGAGGTCCGATGTCCTTTTGAGGGCCGCACTCGTGTGGCTGGTGATCGGGACCTGCGCTGAAGCTGGGCCAGGTCAGATAGCCTCCTGAGAGAGGACCAGGATAGAGGGAACCAGGGAGCTCGCGTGGGCTAAAGCTCGGGGAACGTTCCCTCTATAGAGTACGGGTGAAGAGGCCGTTACTTCTTCAAGTATCAGATTCGCCACTGTAATTGAAGTGTCTGTAATAAATACGTGTTGCCTCCAAAGAACAGTCTCTGACGTCAATAAGGCCACTACAACTGTATAAAAGACACCTGTCCACAGAAGCAATCAATCAGATTCCAAACTCTCCACCATGGCCAAGACCAAAGAGCTCTCCAAGGATGTCAGGGACAAGATTATAGATCTACACAAGGCTGGAATGGGTTACAAGACCATTGCCAAGCAGCTTGGTGAGAAGGTGACAACAGTTGGTGCAATTATTCGCAAATGGAAGAAACACAAAAGAACTGTCAATCTCCCTCGGCCTGGGGCTCCATGCAAGATCTCACCTCGTGAAGTTGCAATGATCATGAGAACGGTGAGGAATCAGCCCAGAACTACACGGGAGGATCTTGTCAATGATCTCAAGGCAGCTTGGACCATAGTCACCAAGAAAACAATTGGTAACACACTACGCCGTGAAGGACTGAAATCCTGCAGCGCCCGCAAGGTCCCCCTGCTCAGGAAAGCACATATACATGCCCATCTGAAGTTTGCTAATGAACATCTGAATGATTCAGAGGACAACTGGGTGAAAGTGTTGTGGTCAGATGACACCAAAATGGAGCTCTTTGGCATCAACTCAACTCGCCGTGTTTGGAGGAGGAGGAATGCTGCCTATGACCCCAAGAACACCATCCCCACCTTCTTTGGTTCTTTCGGTAAAGTCACGTAGAATGAGAATAAAATAATAAATTGATAAAATAAAATAACACAATAATATTCTCACGACGTTTCGGCCACAACACAAGCGGCCTTCATCAGGTGAAGGGACGAGACTGTCTGGAGGACAGCGCTGGAGTCTAAATCGAAACCATCCCCACCGTCAAACATGGAGGTGGAAACATTATGCTTTGGGGGTGTTTTTCTGCTAAGGGGACAGGACAACTTCACCGCATCAAAGGGACGATGGACGGGGCCATGTACTGTCAAATCTTGGGTGAGAACCTCCTTCCCTCAGCCAGGGCATTGAAAATGGGTCGTGGATGGGTATTCCAGCATGCCAATGACCCAAAACACACGGCCAAGGCAACAAAGGAGTGGCTCAAGAAGAAGCACATTCAGGTCCTGGAGTGGCTTAGCCAGTCTCCAGACCTTAATCCCATAGAAAATCTGTGGAGGGAGCTGAAGGTTCGAGTTGCCAAACGTCAGCCTCGAAACCTTAATGACTTGGAGAAGATCAGCAAAGAGGAGTGGGACGAAATCCCTCCTGAGATGTGTGCAAACCTGGTGGCCAACTACAAGAAATGTCTGACCTCTGTGATTGCCAACAAGGGTTTTGCCACCAAGTACTAAGTCATGTTTTGCAGAGGGGTCAAATACTTATTTCCCTCATTAAAATGCAAATCAATTTATAACATTTTCGACATGCATTTTTCTGGATTTTGTTGTTGTTATTCTGTCTCTCTTTGTTCAAATAAACCTACCATTAAAATTATAGACTGATCATTTCTTTGTCAGTGGGCAAACGTACAAAATCAGCAGGGGATCAAATACTTTTTTCCCTCACTGTAACATGCGGAGCGTTTCCAGTGAAGGAAAGCGAAAATGTATTTAAAAAAAAATAATCTACTTTAAAAACGTATCGTTTGTGAATACGATACGTCCTCCCTGATCATTTCGAGTTAATAACGATACGCCCCGACTTCCCCTGCACTCCCATACCAGCACAGTTGACCTTGCGTTCCACCAAAGTTAAAGATCGGTTGTGTTATGAGATGATGACATTATACACTATAACATAGTTGTAACGCAACACAGGACAGAGCAGCGCATCGTGGCTGTTTCTCCCCCCTCCTCTGTTCCGAGCATAGATGGACTCGTCCGTCTGAACAAAGCTCGTCGCTTTCCGTGGTGATAACGTTGAAAAGAAAAAAACGCCACCTTTTTTTTTAGACATAGAATTGTAACGTATAACGACTTATTGTTAGTAGCTCAGCTGATTGGAGAGTATATTGAGTATATTGATAACATTGATGTAGTTTATACTTTAGTTTTTTATCAGTTTACTATATGGTATTCATTATATAGTGTAGTGTATACCCAGCTACTTTATGTTAATAGCTCAACTTATTGAAGAATATATTGAGTACATTTATTATATTGATGTAGTTTATACTTAGTTTTTTCACATCGGCTTATTGTATGATAGTTGGGTAGTTGCAGTTCTTTAGCGTCAATATACTAAATGCCTCTGTTGATATGTAAACTCTGACTTTAACATAGCTACTTCCGTGACCAGTTACATGCTAATCCCTCACATTAACATCATGCTAATCTCCCAGTTACATGCTAATTTCTCACTTTAACACCCTGCTAATCCACCACTTTAAAACAGCTATTTCAATGCTAAATTCTTCTGTTGATATGTAAACTCCTTTGTCAAGGCGCTCTGCTCCTCCCACCCAGCTTAAAAGACGCTGCAAAGCTTAACAGTGTTCACTGAAGCGTTGTCGTCCCGACAGTTCTGTTTCTTCACCTGAAGAAGGCTACTTGTGTTGTGGCCGAAACGTCGTGAGAATTTTATTTTATTATGTTTTATTTTTATTATTTTATTTCCATTCTACGTGACTTTACCGAAAGAACCAAGAAGATGAATCCCTGTAGTCACGGAAGCTTTAAATCGAAATTATACACTATACTTATGGACCAGTTCGTGGCTCACTTTTATCTCAACTAACACATTACTTTAACTTTTGCCTTTACGATCATGAAAACACGGCTCCGCTGGGTGGGTTGTGTCGTGCGACCAAGGGGAAGGAAGACCTAAGAGCAGATGATGCGAGACTGTCAGAGCAGATCTTGGAGGTCGCTGCATGTGCATCAGCCGCGGGATCCGGCAGAGGGGAGAAGCATGGCGAGTGAGTTGTGGTGGTGGCTTCAACGGCTATGGCCATGATTCCATCTTGATATCTCATTCAAACCCACCTATTTAATTTGTTTTTGTAACTCTGACCGAATCAATGGGACTGTGTTAGAACGTTGCGTTTTCATAGTCCCACTGAGAGGTCGTCCACCACCCTTGTGTTTTCATTCAAGTAAACAAGAACGCAGACACATCCCTCTCAAAAATACTGTACCTGCCAACCATTCACTCCATTGCGAGACTCCCGAAACACTCTGACACCGCCGTGATTGTGCATACGTGAGAATGTGTTTGTGACTCATCCTCAAAAGAGTACGTTGTGTGATGTGTAAACGTTGCCACTGGGGAGACATGCGGTTGGGCGTGGTTTTGGCCACCTACCCCCTCGTGTGGCGTTGCCGGTCTTCATAGGTGATCGCTAACAGTACTTTCCCAAAAGGCTGTTAAGCCTATACAGGGGTCTTTGTCTTCTGATTCTGCATGGAAATGTGGGATGGGCTAGAGTCGGTACACGCGTGTGCCCGTCTGTAATCGTGCAGGTTATACCATAGTCACTAAGCGCTCAGTGCCATCACCTGGCAGTCATGCACATTGGCCCAGGTTTCAGCAACATCTTCAGATCAGCATTAACGCAAGAGCGAGGATTTGATTCTGTTCTCTTTCTGGTGGTGATGACTATTACATATTGCAATCTGAAACTCATGTCCCAGATAATGGCGAGGTCACGAGGTCCCAATCTCTCTTGTACAATGTCCATGTACACATCCCCTTAAACATCAGCCATCATCAATCCAATGCTGGATGAGGGCTTCCCCAAGCCACTTTCAGTTCTCACGAGCTTTAACAATCCATCCAGAATCAGAATCTTTAAACTGGAGGGATCCGACGAGCGATGAAACTCTTTTTGACGTGAATTGATTTCATTAATCCATTTCCCTGGTGGACGTGTTCAGATGCGTCTCATTCCTTGGCTGCTGCTGTTATTATTTTTGACCATGGTCCGTATATCATCCCTTTTAGCCATGACGTGTAATGCCAAAGCTCAATTTTCTTAACTGTGTGTATGTTGTCATGCTGTGTGATTTGTGGTGCACATGAACACACACTCTCACCACACTTTCAGCTTACGGGTCTGCAGAGGCTGGAGAGGTAGGAGCTCATAAAGAGGACATAATTCTGGCTCCTAAGGACTTGTACCAGCGCAGAAACTCCGCCGCCCCCTGCAGTGACCAGGAGCTGGCGCGCATCGCGTGCGCCTTGGAGACCAAGGAGCTGTGGGACAAGTTTCATGAGCTGGGCACCGAGATGATCATTACCAAGTCTGGCAGGTGAAACACGAATGTTTGCCATTTTGCAAAAACAGGCAGATAAGTAGTTTATATTCTGCATGTTTAGTGTACACAAACATGATTATTTTTGAGCATAGAGAAATATCGTCAGCCATGATCTATCCACTGCTGGGTGAAGGCCTTGCCACGTTGTTGCCTTCCTTCGCGATCACCTTCTAGACACAACCTCATGGGGCCTCTAACCTTAATCATAACTTCATCCAGTAGGGCTTACTAACCGTCGTATTTTAAGATATTTAACTGGAATTGTCACACTATACTATGCATAACCCCAAACTGCTTCCTAGCCAAGGACTCAACATAGATCACCGATTGTTCACTATTGCATCCGCCAGTCCCTGGAGTGAGTGAACAGATTATCTCTAGGGCCCACGTGCTTGTTCTGTGATGCCGTGGCAGGCGCATGTTCCCGACGATCCGCGTGTCATTGAGTGGGGTGGAGCCGGACGCGCGCTACATCGTGCTCATGGACATCATACCGGTGGACCAGAAGCGCTACCGCTATGCCTACCACCGCTCTTGCTGGCTCGTCGCAGGAAAAGCAGACCCGCCTCTGCCTTCTAGGTGCATAGAGATAGCTCAGTGACTCTCCCTAGAGTGAAGGTGCCTGTTGAAGACAGCAGCTGGGGAATCGCGTGAGACATTAAACGTTAATAACTCAACACTGCACAATTACATTTTACGAGAAGGAATTCCAACCAATTAATTAATTAATTAATTAATCAGTTTTAGGTCAAAGTCGAAGTCTTTTCTGGCTCAAATGAGTATTGAGGCGGTGCTCATCTACTGTTTACAGTCCTAAGCCAGTGAAAGGAATTCCACCTTCCTATGGTATCCATAGGACAACCACTGTTGACTTCCTCACAAAGCGGTACTCATTCTGTCGACCCTTGAGGGACAATGGGCTGAGTCAACTCCCAACTAGGATGTAAACTTAGAACCTTGTGATTGTGAGCAGCTCCGCCTGGCCAGTTAGTAACAAGACAAACTACCAATTAAATGATGTTGAATCTTTAACGAGTGAAGTCCCTTGACCTCACTGCTGCAGTACCAGCTGATAACCCTATATTTAAATTATGTTATAATGAATTTCGATTTCAAGCTTTCGTGACTGCAATGATTCATCTTCTTTGGTTCTTTCGGTAAAGTCACGTAGAATGAGAATAAAATAATGAATTGATAAAATAAAATAACACAATAATATTCTCACGACGTTTCGGCCACAACACGAGCGGCCTGATGAAGGCCTGATGAAGGCCGCTTGTGTTGTGGCCGAAACGTCGTGAGAATATTGTGTTATTTTATTTTATCAATTTATTATTTTATTCACATTCTACGTGACTTCACCGAAAGAACCAAAGAAGATATGTTATAATGCATAACCTTGCCGTGCGTAGGTATGTTCCACACATCTACACCAGTATCTTTAAAGTGTTATACGAATATTACCGTCATGCTCGTTTCATCGTAAACCTATAAAAATGCTGAATATTCTAAGTGATCGATGGCTATATTCTGCTAAATATATCAATACAAACATGTTTGAAGAATATTGCACTAGAATACACTCCAAACAATCAGAAGTAACTGGGTCATCTGGTCACATTTTTTCACTAAATGCTGCTTTTCAAAAGACTGAATGCTGCCTTGAGCTGCTGAAAAGTTTGAAAATTATCGATGTTAACTTAAAGAAAGCCACTTGGTTCAATATGAGCATTTTGCACAATGTTTAGCAAGAATAATTATACTTGAAAAGCATGTCGATGCAAATATGTGCACAACGTAGCTGTTTCGTTTTCACTAATGCACACAGAGCCAGGACACTGACTAAGCTGAGCTCCCGTGTGTTGCTCTGTGTCGTCATTTCCCCACTGTCCAACTCACTCCAGGCTCTACGTGCACCCAGACTCTCCCTTCACTGGAGAGCAGCTCCTCAAGCAGAGTGTATCCTTTGAGAAACTCAAGCTCACGAACAACGAGCTGGATCAGCACGGACACGTGAACTTCGCAACCAGCACACCACCCTCCTCAAGCCACACTCACTCACATCCCCTCCACACCACACTCAAGTCACACTCACTCACTCACATCCCCTCCACAGCACCATCCCTGTGTCAACACTCACTCACATCCCCTTCACACCACACTCCTCATGTCACACTCACTCACATCCCCTCCACAGCATCATCCCTGTGTCAACACTCACTCACACCCCCTTCAAATCACACTCATGTCACACTCACTCACTCACATCCCCTCCACAGCACCATCCCTGTGTCAACACTCACTCACACCCCCATCACACCACACTCCTCATGTGACACTCACTCACATCCCTTCTACAGACCCGCATGTCACACATACTCACATCCCCTTTTTTGTGTGTTTAGTTTGTTGTCCTTCCCCACACCTCCGGTTACACGGTTGTCTATGTAAGGTGCTAAAAAAGTTCAACATACAGTGAGGGAAAAAGTATTTGATCCCCTGCTGATTTTGTACATTTGCCCACTGACAAAGAAATGATCAGTCTATAATTGTAATGGTAGGTTTATTTGAACGGTGAGAGACAGAATAACAACAACAAAATCCAGAAAAACGCATGTTAAAAAAGTTATAAATTGATTTGCATTTTAATGAGGGAAATAAGTATTTGACCCCTCTGCAAAACATGACTTAGTACTTGGTGGCAAAACCCTTGTTGGCAATCACAGAGGTCAGACGTTTCTTGTAGTTGGCCACCAGGTTTGCACACATCTCAGGAGGGATTTTGTCCCACTCCTCTTTGCAGATCTTCTCCAAGTCATTAAGGTTTCGAGGCTGACGTTTGGCAACTCGAACCTTCAGCTCCCTCCACAGATTTTCTATGGGATTAAGGTCTGGAGACTGGCTAAGCCACTCCAGGACCTGAATGTGCTTCTTCTTGAGCCACTCCTTTGTTGCCTTGGCCGTGTGTTTTGGGTCATTGGCATGCTGGAATACCCATCCACGACCCATTTTCAATGCCCTGGCTGAGGGAAGGAGGTTCTCACCCAAGATTTGACGGTACATGGCCCCGTCCATCGTCCCTTTAATGCGGTGAAGTTGTCCTGTCCCCTTAGCAGAAAAACACCCCCAAAGCATATTGTTTCCACCTCCATGTTTGACGGTGGGGATGGTGTTCTTGGGGTCATAGGCAGCATTCCTCCTCCTCCAAACCCGGCGAGTTGAGTTGATGCCAAAGAGCTCCATTTTGGTCTCATCTGACCACAACACTTTCACTCAGTTGTCCTCTGAATCATTCAGATGTTCATTAGCAAACTTCAGACGGGCATGTATATGTGCTTTCCTGAGCAGGGGGACCTTGCGGGCGCTGCAGGATTTCAGTCCTTCATGGCGTAGTGTGTTACCAATTGTTTTCTTGGTGACTATAGTCTCAGCTGCCTTGAGGTCATTGACAAGATCCTCCTGTGTAGTTCTGGGCTGATTCCTCACCGTTCTCATGATCATTGCAACTCCACGAGGAGAGATCTTGCATTGAGCCCCAGGCCGAGGGAGATTGACTGTTCTTTTGTGTTTCTTCCATTTGCGAATAATCGCACCAACTCTTGTCACCTTCTCACCAAGCTGCTTGGTAATGGTCTTGTAGCCCATTCCAGCCTTGTGTAGGTCATTAATCTTGTCCCTGACATTCTTGGAGAGCTCTTTGGTCTTGGCCATGATGGAGAGTTTGGAATCTGATTGATTGATTGCTTCTGTGGACAGGCGTCTTTTATACAGGTAACAAACTGAGATTAGGAGCACTCCCTTTAAGAGTGTGCTCCTAATCTCAGCTCGTTACCTGTATAAAAGACACCTGGGAACCAGAAATCTTTCTGATTGAGAGGGGGTCAAATACTTATTTCCCTCAATAAAATGCAAATCAATTTATAAAAATTTTGACATGCGTTTTTCTGGATTTTGTTGTTGTTATTCTGTCTCTCACTGTTCAAATAAACCTACCATTAAAATTATAGACTGATAATATCTTTGTCAGTGGGCAAACATACAAAATCAGCAGCGGATCAAATACTTTTTTCCCTCACTGTACATACTTTTTTCCCTCACTGTACATACAGTGAGGGAAAAAAGTATTTGATCCCCTGCTGATTTTGTACGTTTGTCCACTGACGAAGAAATGATCAGTCTATAATTTTAATGGTAGGTTTATTTGAACAGTGAGAGACAGAATAACAACAACAAAATCCAGAAAAACACATGTCAAAAATTTTATAATTTGATTTGCATTTTAATGAGGGAAATAAGTATTTGACCCCCTCTCAATCAGAAAGATTTCTGGCTCCCAGGTGTCTTTTATACAGGTAACGAGCTGAGATTAGGAGCACACTCTTAAAGGGAGTGCTCCTAATCTCAGCTTGTTACCTGTATAAAAAGCACCTGTCCACAGAAGCAATCAATCAATCAGATTCCACACTCTCCACCATGGCCAAGACCAAAGAGCTCTCCAAGGATGTCAGGGACAAGATTGTAGACCTACACAAGGCTGGAATGGGCTACAAGACCATTGCCAAGCAGCTTGGTGAGAAGGTGACAACATTTGGTGCGATTATTCGCAAATGGAACACAAAAAGAACTGTCAATCTCCCTCAGCCTGGGGCTCCATGCAAGATCTCATTTCGTGGAGTTGCAATGATCATGAGAACGGTGAGGAATCATCCCAGAACTACACGGGAGAATCTTGTCAATGATCTCAAGGCAGCTGGGACAATAGTCACCAAGAAAACAATTGGTAACACACTACGCCGTGAAGGACTGAAATCCTGCAGTGCCCGCAAGGTCCCCCTGCTCAAGAAAGCACATATACATGCCCATCTGAAGTTTGCCAATGAACATCTGAATGATTCAGAGGACAACTGGGTGAAAGTGTTGTGGTCAGATGAGACCAAAATGGAGCTCTTTGGCATCAACTCAACTCGCCGGGTTTGGAGGAGGAGGAATGCTGCCTATGACCCCAAGAACACCATCCCCACCGTCAAACATGGAGGTGGAAACATTATGCTTTGGGGGTGTTTTTCTGCTAAGGGGACAGGACAACTTCACCGCATCAAAGGGACGATGGACGGGGCCATGTACCGTCAAATCTTGGGTGAGAACCTCCTTCCCTCAGCCAGGGCATTGAAAATGGGTCGTGGATGGGTATTCCAGCATGGCAATGACCCAAAACACACGGCCAAGGCAACAAAGGAGTGGCTCAAGAAGAAGCACATTAAGGTCCTGGAGTGGCCTAGCCAGTCTCCAGACCTTAATCCCATAGAAAATCTATGGAGGGAGCTGAAGGTCCGAGTTGCTAAACGTCAGCCTCGAAACCTTAATGACTTGGAGAATATCTGCAAAGAGTGGGACAAAATCCCTCCTGAGATGTGTGCAAACCTGGTGGCCAACTACAAGAAACGTCTGACCGCTGTGATTGCCAACAAGGGTTTTGCCACCAAGTACTAAGTCATGTTTTGCAGATGGATCAAATACTTATTTCCCTCATTAAAATGCAAATCAATTTATAACATTTTTGACATGCGTTTTTCTGGATTTTGTTGGTGTTATTCTGTCTCTCACTGTTCAAATAAACCTACCATTAAAATTATACACTGATCATTTCTCTGTCAGTGGGCAAACGTACAAAATCAGCAGATCAAATACTTTTTTCCCTCACTGTGCACTACGCTCCAAATAACGCCTACTAATGAGTGGTACTCGTTTCTTTGTTGCAGATCATCTTGAACTCTATGCATAAGTATCAACCACGTGTTCACATCATCAAGAAGAAGGAGCACACCGCGTCCTTGCTGAACCTCAAGTCTGAAGAGTTCCGCACATTCGTATTCCTGGAGAGTGTCTTCACAGCTGTGACAGCGTACCAGAACCAGCTGGTGAGTGACGTAGTGCAAGGAGCCCCCCACCTGTCGCTAGGTATTAGCGTTACCTTATGTTATTAGCATATATCGCTTCACGTCACTCACTCACACAATATATGAATCACTCTGACTGCACAACTCATTATGAAGGTGGAATAATCCAAAATTCTGTTAAAATTTGTGCTATGTTAGTCCTGAACAGAACCTGGTCCATTTCCAGTGGAACAGGACCGAGACAATTCTGTAACTCTGTTATCTGAGAAATACACGTGATTAAAGTAAAAAAAATAGATCAGTTATAAAATGGCTCAGTCTTCTAAAATCTGTGACATCGATGCGAGCTAAGTTGTATAAAATTATAGCCCTGATGTATTATACAAGTGACTGTGAAACAATACACAATTAGCAAAATATTTGCTCATATAATGGAGTTTGAGTGTATGTTATCTGTTATACAGATGGTCCCGTTTATCCAGTCTCCTGGCTGTTTTACAAGGGAGATATGTGGTGCTTGAGTACAGCAGCAACAAAACAAATACAAAAACGCCAATATTGCAGAGAACTAGTACATAATCCTTAAGGAATATTGCACAACTAACGAAAAAGGTAATTAACGGTCGTAAATGAAACACACGAAATATAAAGTGCAAATATAATGAGAGCACGAGGCGCCAGGAAAGGTAAGGTACATGTGCAAACAAGCGCTGTATTTTCGTGTGAAAAAGATCCCCTGTATAGCCTACACAGGCTGTTGGCGCAAATGCTGTTAGCGAGCACCTATATAGGCCGACACAGTACACAAAGTGCTGGGTGGCCAGCACCATGCCCGGCCGCCTTTATCTCCCCAGTGGGGATGTGACTGACATAAACGTAAATGAAAAGAGTGCAAACGTATGGGAGCAAGAGGCTACATAAAAAGTGTAGGTACAGGTGCAAGTATGCTTTGTGTTTTGGTTTAATATGGAAATAAAGAGGGGACTGAGGGGGTGTAGATGAGCAGCAAGGGTATAAACGTGGAGCAGCAATGCGGAAAGACTTTACAATTGTCTCCAAGGTGGGTTTGTTACACCCTGCCAGCTACAGAGGGTGGGCTGCGAGGCAGCTGGAGGGAGATAAAGTGAGTAGCCAATGGAGATGTCTAACTCACCAAGTATGTTCTGCCAACATTGAAATGGCCTACGGACATTCCGGGAGCTTGAAATCCTGGTTACCAGCGCCCATGAAAACAGCAGGAGGCTCACTGTGGTCTGGAATTCCTCTTCCTGCCCTCCTCATATACGTCAGATGCTTCCTCCATTGCAGTATGGGATTTTATATCATTGCAATTAACTTATTTTACAAATCTATAGCTTGACCTTAGATAATTAAATAAGAGAATGTTATTGTTAGTTTTATTCCATTCAGAGCCATAGCCATTGTTAGGATATTTTTTTTAAGATTTAGGCAATATATAATATTTCAAATTAAATATCAATTATTTGATTAAGAGCCATAATAAAGGTTTTTGGGTTAGATCGCGTTATTTATAAATGTGTCGTAACCCTCCACCACCCGACACGGCCAATCAGCAAAAAAGTATCACGTTGACAAAAGACAAATAATTCACTACTTTAGCCCAGCATCATCGGGCAATTCGCCCGATGATGCTGGATGTATTTACCAGCGAAACGTCGTACTCAAACTGTAAATGTTGTGGATTCACTCTTCAACACACCGGTGGGCTAAAGTAGTGAATTATTTGTCTTTTGTCAACGTGACACTTTTTTTGCTGATTGGCCGTGTCGGGTGGTGGAGGGTTACGACACATTTATAAATAACGCGATCTAACCCAAAAACCTTTATTATGAATAATATTGGTCGCGAAAGCCTACGTGTTAAACTGATTAAGATCGCAGGTTTCTTTCACTTAATATTAATGGAATCGTTCCTGCATCTTCCTCAGACCTCCCTCACAAAAGGGATGATTTATTCAGTTTGGTCTCACCGGATGTAAAGAAAGAGAATATATACATAAAAACATTCAAGTGTATCAAATATAAAACATTTTTTTACTCATTTATTATACAGCTAAGCGTTCCATTGTGAATGATAGAGTTTTAAATGATAGAAATTATAATGCGACATACATTTTATATTCAAGATATCTATCGATTTGGCCCTTGACAGAAATAATAAATTTAAATCAGCTGCTGCATGTTATACCATTCAGCTGCCTCAGTAGCATATTACTTAAGTGAAAAGGTTTGAGATATTGATGAAATCAGAGCAAGCCTGTGTAACGGACTTGACCCATCCTTTGTGTGTCACTGTGCGTACAGATTACCAAACTAAAGATCGATAGCAACCCATTCGCGAAAGGGTTCAGAGACTCTTCAAGACTCAGTGACCTGGAAAGGTATGAACTGCACTGGTGTTTCAAATAGTGGCATTTTCTGTCAGAATGTTTATAATGTGAGAAAGAGAAGAATACAGAATTTTGTTCGCTGGAGCAGAACTTGTGTGTTAACATTGATCATTAAAGGAGGGGAATATTGGCGCAGAGCTATCTAAACAAAACAAGGCAGTCAGGTAGGTTCAAGTTGATTTTGTTTTACCAGGTAAGAACTCAAGAGACCTGGATTAGTCTCATTCCTGAGAGTGAGTAACCTGGGTCACCAAAGTGATAAAAGCAACAACATTAAAGGACAATAATGAAGCAAATATAAATGAAATTACAGCAAAAAGTCACATTATAAAACAAATCAAAAATATTTTTTAGAAATAAATTATTAAAAATGTAACATCTATTTTACACAAAAACTCGTCTTAGAATTACTGATCATACAATTAAGTTAAAGATATATTCACATGGAAAGGGTGATTATTGAATGAGTGGGTAAATACGGTACATGTCCAAGGCAACTGCAAGTGAAGTTAGGTGTTCTACATTGATGTGCAGCAAACAGTGATAGATGGTAAATGCATTTTGATAAGCATTGGCCCAGAGCCCCAAGAAAACGCGATCTCATGGCTGTGTGGATCTTGTGTCCATGGGGCCAGGGACAGCGTGGAGAGCTTGATACAGAAACACACTTATGCCAGGTCGCCCATCCGGGCCCTGTCTGGGGAAGATGACGTCTACCCTTGTGATGACGGTCAGGGCTCTCAGTCCAAAGGTGAGCGTGGGTGATGAGTAACTTGGATGTGTGAAATGGTCTGCAAAGAATAACTTCATGTGTTCCGGATGTCAATACAGTTTCACATGAGGTGTGAAATGGGTGAAGTTGACAATATCCTCAACTTTTGTTACAACTAAGCAATTTACAAATGAAATGCGGGAAAACTGTTACCTCCTATTGCCACTAAGTGTGGCGGTTGTGGTGGCAGAGTGGTTAGCACAGTGCGCTATAGACCCAACGACCTCAGTTAGGTTCCTGACCACAACAGTGGTGATATCTTAACTGGTTCCACCTCCATTCTTCACCATTATGGTGGAGTATCGTGTGGGGAGGATGGCATCCTCCTATGGATTTACAAAGCGCCCTAAAGTTTGATGTATTATTGTTTACTATTGTGTGCTCTGGCCAGGTGGCTAAAAGGTGGAGTGAGTGGTTTCTAATCGGAAGATTGCAAGTTTAAATCCTGCTTGGGAGTTTACTTAGCCCATCATCCCTCTGGGGTTGATAAAATGAGTGCCACTTTGTACGGAAGTCAACAGTTGTTGTCCTATGGGTAGATATTACCTTGCCATAAGGATGTGTAATTTCCACCATTTAACTCAGGGCTGTAAACAGGAGATGATCACCACCTCAATGCTCATTTGAACATAAAATGGCTTGACATTTAAACATAATTACGCCAACAAATACATTGAAACTTACAGTTATTTCTCTCTTGCATGCAGTGCCAGTCTTCTCGCATACCAGTGGCGTGACGCTAAGTGCCTGGGTAAGTCATGCTGGGCTCCCTGCCTTCCAGCCTTCAGTGGCATCCCATCCGGGGCCAGCACCCCACCCTCCTCCCTACAGTCAACTGGGGATCCACCTCGCAGCTGCTGCCGCTGCCGCAGCCGCTACAGCTACTGCCGCTGTAGGAAACGCGGCGGGTCCCCCAGCCTCGGCACACCCTGCAGGAGCCCTACAGGGCACGAGTCGGATGAATCTGGCTGGGTCACCGCAGGGTGGTCCTCCTCTATTTCCCACTTACCCCGTGCCTCGCTATCACCACCTTTTCCAGCAAGGCCCTTACGAATCAACGCAGAGACTAAGGAACCACAATGCCATCATGACACCGTTCGTGTAAACTCCTTAAGCGTTCCAGTCATTACAGTACTTGGTATATTGACATTGCAGAGCACTCTTTTTCAAAATCAGTAGGTAAGAAGAGTATGTACAAGTTATAATCAACACTTGCTAATAGTAATAAAAATAGGCATTGAATTCTGCTAATAACCAGTCAAATATAGTAATGTAATGCTATATTTTCGCACTAAAAAACAAATACTAAACCCACCAATATGTCAAGCAGGGGGTTTTGAACAACACCACTTTCATTATTGAAGTGAACATTGTTCTTAAGAATGTTTTCCACAAGCACGTGTTCCAAATGTGTGTGTGCGGATCACAGTTGAGTAACGTCTTTAAATTTATATTCATTTTAAATGATTATTTTAAAAAAGAATGTAATTCCATTGTCACTGACACTAAGCAAACTGACTTCTGGTCATATGTAACCAACATTTACACAACATTTATAAATTTAGCATTTGTGCATCGACAATAAATGTCGTTTGCTTAAGTACAAGTACATGTGGAGTATATTTACATATATTATAATTTTATTATAATTTTTAGACCTTTGCCAATTACCAGCATGCTAAAGTATGATAAAAGCCTTCACAACTGACACGTGGGAAGGCCTTCATCCAATTGCGCCTGGATAAGGGTCGTGAATTACTATGATTTCATGTATTCTATGTTAATAACACGTTTTTTTCCTTTAAAAATCTCTTAAACTATTGTGATTTTACCAGGTAATGCTGACTGAGCTATATAGCTCTTTTTCAGAAGCGACAACTACCAGCACCAGACACATTTCTATGGAGCAAAATATAAATTTCACCTTTGTGTAAAATTTGGTGACTGAGCTCAAAAGCCAAACTTTGTAGCTACAGAGGTGGTGACCCAGGTTTCAGTGCCAACAACTCCAGAGATCACAAGAAACACTGTGGTGTAGGCAAGAGTCACTATTATTTATGTTGTTTATATTCCTATTATGTTTGACTTGATGGTTCTCTGATTTTAAGATTCAGGTCTCATCTTAACTATATTCCCATTACATGTGTCACAGGCACTCTCACTAGTCACACTGAGTGTTATATTCATTGGCTACTGTGGTGATGTGAGCTGCAATACATTTTGCACAGAATTCCCAATATAATCTGTGAAACTGCCAATCACCCATTCTTATCTACGGTGTGTGTGGTCTCAGAGTAATAAAATGAGTTTGAACACTTTCATACAGTTACACATAGACTATGATCAAATTTTAGTATTTATCTTCGGCTAAATAAATTGTTTTAAGATTCAATCATATTCTGAGACTTTGTAAATCCAAAATATGCTGTATTTTAGAAAATGTAAAACGTGTATTTTTATTTGCAACACAAAAGTTGTTACATTTGTTTTGTAATGTGATCATCATTATTTCTGAATGGTATTGTAGCTTTCACTTCACTTGGTACTGCTGGTTGCTCTGTACAATTAACACAAAGAACAATGCTGATTCTATGACAACTATTGCGTGCAGTCAAGGCACTACATAGTAGTCTCCAGATGATACATTTAGATGTACTGCAAGTGCAAGTTGTTATTGTAGATATTCTCAAATTGCACCATGCACGATATGTCTACACCTTCAATTATTATCAAGATCACTACCGCAAGGCAATGGGAAAGGCTCCCTGTTTGCACTTGAGGAGGCTTTCAATGCCTGCACAACACTGCATTCCAACAGAACTACGGTGGCAAGATGTTAACTCCCTCCCCTAGTATGTAGGAGGCCATGGGTTCGATCCCTACCCTGACACCTGTATATTTTGAGTTTGCATGTTCTCTCCGTGGTTGCGTGGATTTTTCTCCAGGTCGTCTGGTTTTCCCTCCACATTTAGAAGCATGCATTAAGAGTATGTGTTTTTTTATATAAATGTACACAGGGTAAGATACCTCATTGCGCTATTGTTTGTGGCTAGGTCGCTTCTGAAATGGAACTGTATCACTCAGTAGGTCTTACCTGGTAAAGGAAAAAGTTTAGTTTAATTAACCTACAAACTATATTATGCAAGATCATGTTGCTGCTGTTTTTGAATGTATCATAGTTTACTTTCAGTCAAAGCAACACATTGACATGTGCATTATTCAACAACCTCGTCATTTACTGTATAATATAATTGTATTTTATTCCATTGAGCGAATACTGTGTTACCATTATAAATAATGACGAGAAAAGTTTAATTTCCATAAGGATGAGCAACTTAGTAATTTTAAAACTTGCAAACTCGGTAAAACCAGGCAACGTGATAGATACTTGACAACCGATAGCCATGTATGGCTGAATGTAGAGAGGCACACGTGTGTATGTCATTACACATACACCTGTAAATAGACAAAATACAGAAAGCAACATGCAAACATAAGTGTCAAATATTGTCATTGCTAACAGAAAGATTGTTAATGAAGACACTATCTACTAGAAACAATATACTTGGCGTAATGTCCAACTGTTGTATTTAAAGCGCAATGCAGCATTTACACAGGTGACAAACTAAACACCTCATTCGAGACCCAAACAACGCACAACTCCTGGCTCTCGAAGACACCGGTGGATCATCAACCGCCTCACACCAACAGGCTGATGAGCACATCTTCACAAATGGAAAATTAAAGACAAGACACAGCAGTGCAAGTATGGCCATGCAACCCAAACTATGGACCATCGAATAAACCACTATAGTTTGCACTCCTTTAGTGGAGGAATGGAAAAACTTACACCAACTTTCTGCTGAAGCTGTCTCGTGGCCAGATGACTTCGAGATTGGTATGTAGCGTCTGAACATACTACCCACACGTAAGAATATAGGTGACTATTGGCTTATCCTGTGCTCAAAGTATGTGGTGCATTTTCGAGTTTTAACTTTTTTTGAAAAACAGATGGACAACATTCATTGTGTGTGTATTCGGGGGCACGCCTCGGGCAGTCATGGACTTGATTATGGAATTTTAAATGGTGACATGTATATGCACGCTATTAATTTAACACATGCACCAGTTTACGTACCAAAGCAAACCTGTTACTTTGTTTGGGAGGTGTTCACGCATGTCTGTATAAAGGATTTTGTTATTTATGTGCTCATGGGAAGTTGTGAGCTGTCTTTATGAAGCTGTGTGACCAGGGCATACAAACGGTGTACACTGTACATTCATATGGAAATGCAACGATTGAAAAACCGAACCGATATTTGGTGGTTACACCTCGACATCAAGCGGCTATGCCGAGGACCCAAGATATTAAACCTGCATCTCATCGGATTCTCTGCCACCACTTCCTGGTAGTGGAAACCGAGAATCAAAAGATGTGAAGGACGGTACAATGATGGCCTGCAGGAGGGCTGGAGCCAAATGGTCAGGGCATTTGCCACTCGACGATGATTGGATCGCCACCAGCTTTTGTAAGAATTAACTACAGTGCAGCTGTGGTGCCACAGCAGCGAAGCCGCTCCGTCGGAGCCAAACTTCACGGTTTCCTGCGACCAGGGAATTGGGCGACCTCCCCCGAGGCTAACGTGCACCGCGGCGCCGTGACTTGGGTGGTAATTACATGGTCACGACGGGGCTGCTGAGCCACCGCGGATAGAAAACACCCACAATACACACGGGTCAGCAGGCAGGTAGGGGGGGGACGGAGTCATGAACGGCAGGAAACACAGGGCCGGTCCTCCTATTGGTAGGACAGATGTGCTTGTTTAGAGGGTGAAAAGCAGACGTCTGAGAGAGCACCGATCCGGGGAGAGTGGCGGGAAATCCGAGCCACCTGATTGGACGGGAGGCCAGCGGATCAGCGTCGATTTGCCTTTGATGTAGAGGACAATAAAAAGGGTAGAGAAGGTAGGGAGAGTGAGTTCGTATTGTTCTCAAGCCAGGCTCGGGGCCGTCGACTTCCCAGCCACTCGAACGTCCGTGTGACGAGTCGAAGTGCAGCGAGGATCCGACCCAGCAGCTCCGTACGAGTCGAACCGTGAGTACCCGAGAGTTTGATATTGAGGCCATTGGGAGATTGTCTTAGGAGAGTGATTTTAAAGAAGCGATACAGATCGGGTCTGAGACCATCGGGAGACCTGCCCTGCTGACTCAAACTGACTCGGGTAATTTAGCCTCGGACTCGCTGAGAATAAACTGCTGGGGTTCAATAAACCTTGTCGTGTGGTTTCTGCGAGGGTGGAACGGATGCATGTTGGTGTGCGTCGTTGTACCCTGTGTTTGTGCGTGAGGGTGTATTTACCCACGTGTTTGCGCTCGCCCATGCGTGTAGCTCGTGGTTAGTGTGTGCGTGTGGTGAGTGGCGGCGGACTCGTACAGGGGCACGTGAGATTACTCATACGCCCTTTCGTTTAACGTGTGCGTGAGGCTAACGGGCGGCGTACACGCGAGATTATTCGTGCGGCCTTTGTTTAGCGTGTGCGTGGGGTGAACGGGCGGCGTACCTGTGAGTTTGTTCATACAGACCTTTAAATAAATCTCCGAGACAACCCCCCCCAATCGGCTGCGCGTGTGCGAGTGACGCCCCAGCCCTCTGACCCCCGACCCCGAGTCCCGCGCGCGCGATTGGTGCGTGGCACGGGAGAGGAGCGACGTCGGATTTCGAGTGAGTGGGTGTGAGTGTGTGCACGGAGATTGTGTGAATTGATTCCAGGTGGCTAAGCGCCAGCCACGAATCATGCCCCGAAGGGCCGCAGCGAAGGGGGGGGGGGAGTCGGTGAGCAGTAACCCTCCCCAGGACACGGAAGAGGGGAGCAGTGGATCCCACCTGAGCGAGGAGCCGGGGGTCAGCCTCCCCGACACAGCATCAGTTCAACACGTAGTGCAGCATCATTCCTCAAAGTATACATCAATAATTTTGATGACATATCTTAATGCACAGTGCCATGGAATTGGGACTCCTAAAATGGAATTGGAACTCCCGTAACTCCAAATATGGGTTAGTATTAGGGCTATCGGGTTGAGGTGGACATGTGTTCACTACAGGTTAAGGTCAGGGCTAGAGGGTTGTGGTGGTTGTTTATTTTACTCTCTGTTCCACACAAGTCATGTGATGCCCTCTTGTGGACAACCGCACAACTACAGCTGCTGCATCGCAAGAAACAAAATAACAGAGCAGAACAATAGCCTCCAACATAGCCGTCTCTCCACATAAACAATGCGAGTGGTTGTATTCATCCCATCAGCCGCATAATCTTCTGAGAGTGCATCTCAGCGGCATAGATTCAACACAAGCAACACCTTGGACAGGCTACGTCACTCATTGTCTCATCAGCAGTGAGGCTCGCTTGAACCAACACTAGTGAACTGCCACATGTTATTGTCAGGGAACCACTCTATGAGATATGGGTCCGAGTGAACGCAGTAGCTCGAGCCTGGTCTTGCTGATGCCACTGCAGTGCACGGACACGCGGTGCCCTCTCAAGGGCGAATTATTGGGTGAAGTTGCGTTGGTAGCGGCGCACGACCGAAATTCCCCTTAACAAACTCAGCGCATCCGTCTATAACCCTGTGGCATTCAGAGAACAACGCGCACAGGCGACATTTCGGGCAATGGCCCTTCTGTCAAGACTAGCAGCTCGCCTCTTCAGAAGCACCCCCGATTTTCCCCGCACCTCCGATTAGCTCGGTTGGCTACATACGGTGCGAAAGAAGTTCAACATGCAAGAGAGGACCACCTTTCACCCCGAGTGGCCGTGTCAGTGCGTGGCCTCGTTCCGCGACCTCTGGTGGTGGAGGTGGGAATAGGACTTGAACCCTGGGAAGAGGAGGCCTCCTCGTTAGCTAAATGACTGAACCAACGATGCCCGTTAAATAACTGAATCAACATGGAAGCCCGCTAAATAACCTGACCAATATGGACGCCTGCTAAATAACGTAACCAACCCCACCGAAAGATCGTAACCTTATCATGGTGGTGGGGTTCATGTGTTCCAATGATCCTCAAAGCTATGTCGCCTGGAGTATTGTACTCTTGCTAGGGTCTCCTTTGGCGAATAGGTCTGGGTGGGTGGGTAGGTTCCAGACACATAACGGTTCAAACAAAAGCCCTTTATGAATGGTTATGAAGTACGAAAATCAGAGAACCTTGCCCGGATAACGTATACCGGGACACCCCCCTGGAGCCAGGCCTGGGGGTGGTGTTCGCCGACAAGCACCTGCTGGCCGGGTGACCCATGTAACCTGGTCGGGCCCAGCCTGAAATGACTACGTGGTGCCATCCTGAGGGCCCACCATCCACTCGGGGGGAAGGAGCCGGAGCTGGTGGAGAAGGTGGAAAAGTATCGACTAGATAAAGTCGGTCTCACCTCCACACACAGCAATGGCACTGGAACCTAACTTCTATATCGGGGGTGGTCTCTCTCCTTTTCCGGAGTAACCCCTGGTGAGAGGCCCCGGGCGGGTGTGGGGATACTCACAAGGCTCTGGCTGGGTGCTGTTCAGTTGGAGTTCATCCCAGTAGACGAGAGGGTCGCCTCAATGAGACTTCCAGTCTCATAAAGGAAAACTCTGACTGTTGTTTGTGCTTATGTTCCAAACAGCAGTTCAGAGTATTTGCCTTTATTGGAGACAGTGGGTGCAGTACTCGATAGAGTGCCGCCCACTGACTCCATAGTCTTACTGGGCGACTTCAATGCTCACGTGGGAAACGATGGAGATGCCTGGAGAGACTTGATTGGGAGGAATGCCCCCCCCGATCTGAACCCGAATGGTGATATGTTATTGGCATTCTGTGCTAGTCACAAAATGTCAATAACACCATGTTCGAGCACAGAGCACCTTGGGCCGAAGGTCAATGATTGACTTTGAAGTTGCATTATTGGACCTCATGCCGTATGTTCTGGACACTCGGGTAAAGAGAGGGGCAGAGCTGTCAACTGATCACCACCTAGTGGTAAATTGGACCTGCCGGTAGACACCAGTGGTGAGGGAAGCTGTAAAGTTGAAGAAGGAGGCTTTCCGACCTATGCTAGGAAAAAGGTCTCCCAACTCAATTGAGAGGTACCGGCTTGCCAAGAGGGTGGCAGCAGTAGCAGTCGCTGAAGCGAAAGCCCAGGCATGGGAGGAGTTTGGAGAGGCCATGGAGAGGGACTACTGGGCAGCCTTAAAGATGTTCTGGCAAAAAATCCAACGGCTTAGGAGGGGTCTACGGGACATGGCTCATGCTGTTCCCAGTAAGTTGGCATAACATTGAACTCAACTAAGGAGATAATCGAAAAGGGGAAGGGCAACTTTGAGGAGCTGAACTCGGTGGACATGCCCTCCTCTCAGGAGGCAGCCCTGGCAACAGCTAGGGGGTTCGGATACATTACGACTGCTGTAGTCGCTGCGGCGGTCGAGGGCCTTTATAGCAGCAAAGTTGCTGGGGTGGACGAGATTCTCCCAAAGTTGTTGAAAGCGCTGGACAGTGTAGGAGTGTCGTGGTTAACACGCCACTTCAATGTTGCATGGAAGGTGGGTACAGTGCCTCTGGATTGGCAAACTGGGGTCGTGGTCCCCATTTTTAAGAAAATGTGACCAGAGGGTGTGCTCCAACTACAGAGGGATCACACTCCTTAGCGTCCCAGGTAAAGCCTATGCCTGAGTGCTAGAGAAGAGGCTGCGCTCGGTGGTCGAGCCTCAGATTCAGGAGGAACAATGTGGACTCCATCAGTGTTGTGGAACAATGGACCAGCTCTGTTTCCTCTCACATATTTGAGGGGTCATGGGAGAATGCTTCTCCAATCTACCTCTGCTTTGTAGACTTGGAGAAGGCATATGACCGTGTTCCCGAGAATGTCTTGTGGGAGGTGCTGCGGGAGTATGATGTACCGGTGCCATTTGTGTGTGCTATCTGGTCTGTCTATTCCCGGAGTGAGAGCTGTGTCCATAATTCTTGGTGTTAAATCAAAGTGGTTCACTCCACCAAGGGTGTGTCTTATCTCCACTCCTGTTTGTGATTTTCATGGACACTATATGAAGGTGCAGCCGTGATGTGGAGAGTATCCATTACTGGGCATGGAGGTGGTGTCGCTGCTTTTTGCAGATAACCGTTGTCATTTCCAGCATGCACTTTAACAATTTGATGCCGAGTGTCAAAAGGCTAGGATGAGGATC